CCCCCCCCCCCCGGGACTGCAAGCAGTCTAGTATTACAGAGGGTGTAACATGATAATCCTTTAAGAAATAGAAGAACTTAGCAGCTGCCTTTAGGGGCGCGGACCGTGGGGGGAGGGGGACCGGGGGTTCCATTTGGAGAGGGGAAAGTACCGGGGGTTCTCTATGCCCGTTCAATTGGACCAAGCTGTCGTAATAAAAATACTACATACCATACTTAGAATAAACGCCACCGCTTCTCCTCTCTTACTTCCTTGAATAATAGGGATACAACTGGTCTAGCCTAATGCTACTTTACGGATGCGATAATCGATTACGAAACATGCGTACCGATACATCTGTGTCAAAAGTGTGTGATGAGCGTGACTACTGTACGCTTGATTACCAACCACGTTGTAACAAACGTTCAGCTGAACTTCAGCACGTGGATAATGTTGCAGTAGTAGTTTTTGTTTTTCTTTGAAATATTTAGCCATAATGGGGTTACAATTAACCTGCGAAGCGTAGACGTATTTCCGGTCGTCGCCCTTCTCCTCGGAGGGAGAGAAGCGACGACCGGAAATACGTCTGCGCTTCGCAGGCTAGGTTACAATTCGTTGAAAGGAAAACTTAAAAAGGCCCCACCTACCTCAATTAAGCACTACCTTTCCTTTCTTGAAGTTCCTCTCCTTTAAGGCAAATTTTGAATAAGCGCCCGTCGAGAAAATACGGTATATCGCATTTTGTTTTGTTTTGTTGTTTGTTTTTTTAAATTAAAGAATAAAGCATTATTATCTCCGAAAAACGGAAGGCAAAGTATTTTACACACAAAGAACTTTACGAAATTTCGTTCATTTTTTTTCGCACAAATGTAATTGGAAGGTCCTATGGGTCCTACCCGCGAAAGGTCCCTCCAGTTTACCTTGGGCGTTTTCCATTCAACCAAAACGTCCGGTTTGAATTTTCGGCGACATTCTGGCAGTAGCGAATGGAACAGTATTTTCCAAAATTTCCAAAAAAGAGGACAACCTCGCGAGGTATACCTACATTTTTTCTTTTTATTCAATGAATGTTTCACATTTTGGAAATTCAACAGTTTCTGAATAATTTCTGTACCATTTGCTGCTGTTTCCAAATTTTCGAAAGTTTTGGTTGAACGGAAAGCGCCCCTGGTCACTGATTAATGGATAAAAATCCTTTAAACACTAAACTGCTATAACACCAGCGGAAAATGGCCGTGTCAAAAGTAGTGAAAAGAACAATAGAGAGAAAGCCGGTTGGAGTTATGAATGCAAAAGGAAGGAAGGAAGGAAAGAAAGAAGGAAAGAAGGAAGGTTGGTTAAATGGTTGGATGGACAAATAAGTAGAAGAACAAGAAACGGCAACAAAAACAATAAATAACAACAACCACATAAGCTTTATTTGTATGACTATGTAGTTACAGTATTGCAATAGCCTGGAAAACAGTCGTTTCTCAAAGTTACAATTTATACAATGGAATGATTACAATGGTCCATCAAGTGTCATCAGTATGATTTGATAACAAATCATTACGTAAATCATTACATAATGAAACAAATTTCAACAAATGCCGGCGTGAATTTACAGAAAAATTCTGTGAATTCATCAGTTTGGTTATTAATTCTGTGCAAGAACAAAATTATGTTGGATTTGATCGTAGAATTTTTCCCTTAGGATTGAATACTTTGGACAATGCAAGAGAAAATGAAATTAACACCTTCCCATAGACGCATAAGGAAAATCAGTTCAGTATATTTTACATAACGTAGTATCCTCTGTCAAACTTTCACCGCTGCACAACTATTCAGCTGTTTCACCAAAGATGGCGGACGAAAGTGGTAAGTTTTTAATCAAAAGACATGGAATCAGTTCAAAAATTATGCTTGCAGTGAACATAGGCATATCATAAAAACTTAATAGCCGTCTTGCAAAGAAGTTATAGCTATTATTAAAGCGTCGATCTGGCTTTTTCGTCAAGATCTACGATACTCTCTATGCCAAGTACAGCTGTTAAATGCGCTCCTTGGTCAAACATGTTGTGAGGAGTTAATGTTTTTCATCCTGCCCTTCACCGATTTAGAGCAGCAAGTTACTCTGTAAACCGCTGAGAGTATCAATTCTGCATCTTATCTTCCATCCTCTTTAGAAGTAGACCCTCATATATTCAGATTCCAAGATTTTGAAACATCGCCAGATTCCTTCTATGNAGTATCAATTCTGCATCTTATCTTCCATCCTCTTTAGAAGTAGACCCTCATATATTCAGATTCCAAGATTTTGAAACATCGCCAGATTCCTTCTATGATTATTCACCGAGCCTTCGAGAAAACGCTGTCCCACTAATCGTTGACAATGGTAAGTACAGCTCTACTTCTAATTTACTTGTCAATGTGTATCTAATTTTTTTCAAAGGTATCTGCAAAATAGCAGAAAATAATGTGACTTTCATTTTGCTACAAGTTTGCCCCAGATGCCATTATCACACAGACAGTACACAAAAGACACTGGTATTATCAAAGTTTAAGTTAAAGAATTATGATCAAGACTCTTTAATAGAGAAAAGTATCGTGTTATTTTATTTTTTTCTAAAAAAAGTCGAGGGTAAATGCAAGAGATCTCAGTAAACACCCTCAATTACCACACCACAGTACTGTTACAATAACCAAATTTAGCTGAGACAAGATTAATAAGAGATATAA